GAAGTACGACCCCCCCCTCCCTTTTCAACCTCCGCCGAACAAGAGAAAGCAACTATCAAAAAAATTCTCTGTCCGAACACGACCCCCCCCCTTTATAGCGTCCGTGAAACAAGAGAAATCAACTATCAAAAAAAATTTTTCTCTGACCAAATACGACCCCCCTCCCTCGCGGTCAAACACGACCCCCCCCCTTTATAGCGTCCGTGAAACAAGAGAAATCAACTATCAAAAAAAATTTTTCTCTGACCAAATACGACCCCCCTCCCTCGCGGTCAAATACGACCCCCCTTGTGATGATCACAACGATGGCGTACCCTGCATCCGACAGCGCCTGTATGTCATTCTCCGAACCAAAAATCACTCTCAGCAGTTACCAAGTTTTCTGAAACCGTCCCTCTGAAACTCCGGTCATCCGCGCTTCAAGCTTGAGCTTCAGTTAGAAAAAGGCAGCAGAGACGTCGCTGATTCTTACGTCTAATCCCCCCCCCGCCTGCGCGAGCGCCAAAAGATTGCCACAATTGCTGCCCTGAAACAATCTCTTTTGGTGAACGAGCGAGATGTGACTTCTGCAGCCGTAAGTCAACCAGTCGCATGCAGGCACGGTCCCCCCCCCCTCCCTCTTCACCGGGTTACGTGACAACTAAAACTTTTGGTGGGGGTCCTGCCACGATAGGCCAGAGCGCAGAGCAATAAGGGACTGCTACTGCCAAGGCATCGTGAGGTACAAAAACGTGACGCGAGCCAGCAGATCAATTTCTTTTTGGAGGGAGGGGACACCGGGGTGTATGGGCCACTTGGTATGTGTGAAAAGTTGAAAATAAGAAAGAGGAAGTGGTCACAAAGCGCCATTCAAACAAGAGAGCACGGAGGAAACAGAAAATTGACGCCATTAAAGGAATTGAGTGTTAGTTGTCCGTATACATCGACATGGTCCTACCGCGAAAGAGAGAGCGCAGAAAAACAAAGATTGTGGGACGTTCAATCCTTTTTATGTCTGAGTGCAGCGTTCCCTTCCGTCCGGTGTCTGACTTCGAGAGCGAGATTGTGAGGAAGAAAGGAACAGTTGTCTAAAGGCGAGAAACAGAGGATAGCGGCTGTCAGGCTATCGAAAGATTTTCAAACCCAAATCTAGGCTATTTAAGGAGAAGGGCTTACTGTGCGTGAAAAAGGTACTGTGCGAGGTCACAGTAGTCCTAGCACACATTGTAAGCGAGAGGGTGCAGACGAGGACAAGTCGATGCTGTTCAAAGGACCGTGTCCAAGATGTGAAGAAGATGAGCGAAATTGCGTCGCACATGTAGCGCGCAACGGCGGCGACTGTATGCTTCAATCGATAACGGTCCTTGGAACATGGGAAATCTTTTCGGTGGGGCTTCACATGTGGACGGCTCCTGGAAATAATCTAGACAAATGCGACTGACATCCTCAAACCCACTCCAGTCTTTTGCGAACGACCAAAGGAACACAGATATAGAGTCGGTGGCGTCAAACATCTTGGGTTCCTATCTTCATCCAAACAAAAAAATATTGCGAAGACCATCCTGAGCACATTTGCTGCTCCTGGATAACCATAGTTCACATATGGAATTAATTCCTGAGCTTCAATACTCTGGAAAGGGTGCGGCGTCGCGCGCGACACCGCGGACGACTCACCCCCACTACGGCTGGCCACGGACAACACTTCGTGACGTGTCGAGCTGTGAGGCGGATTATTTCACTTTCCACCATAAGTGTTAAATATTCTTTGCCGTATTTGTTAAAGGCAAGTCATGCTCCCATTATTTAAGGGATTTCGGAACTCATCAGCCTTTTTTGAACTTCATCCATTGTCGGTTTCTATCCGAGCTTTACTATTCTGTCAATGACTTTTCTGTTAGTTCTCAAGAGAAGAGAGACTTTATTTCCTTTTAGGAAAAGCACTTTACTATCGAATTCAATTACTAAACAGTAGCCTCAGTCTTTATCATTGGAAACGTTATCTAAGTAAACCGTGCGAGTTTTTGGTCCGATTTTTCTTACGATTTGCTGTTTTGGTGCAATCGCAGTTTGTGGCAGCAATGGCTACACGGACTAGGGGGCTCGTCCTTAACGTGTCATGACTTATTGTGCAGCATATTTTGGCTAATGCCGTTTGGACTCCAGAAATTTCGGCACCGAGCTCATTTTTAAATTGCCTAAGTCACCAAATCCGCTGTATATAGGGGTAGTTTAACATCCTGATTACGAATATGACATTCACTCTTGTCGCTGGCGCTAATGGATGACACTACGATTACCTCCTGGGCTCAGCCTTAGCAGAGCGCAGATAATCGTAGTGTCATCCATTAGCGCCAGCGACAAGAGTGAATGTCATATTCGTAATCAGGATGTTAAACTACCCCTATATACAAGTTTTTAGCGGATTTGGTGACTTAGGCAATTTAAAAATGAGCTCGGTGCCGAAATTTCTGGAGTCCAAACGGCATTAGCCACATATTTTTTACATATTTGTCAATGCGATATGTTGTGGAAAGTCCTAACAGGTACGGGGTTGTTACCATCCTACGATAACGTACACTCCTTATCTCTGAGACGGAGTAGGCGTGGCATTTGAACATGGCATCGGAAGGGTAACTCGTGGGATACTTCGATTTGAGACCATTGTCATACTGTTCTGTGCTATCAAAGAAATGATTACAATTGCCCCAAAACGAAAATATCACACGAAAAGCTTAGCCGCCGCCACGTTCAATTCAAGTACGCAGCCACGTCTACCGCATCTCAGGGATTTGTACGTAGAACCACTGCTATCCCGTACTGCGATTACAGAGCTTTTCTTCCACTTTCCATCATAACGTTGAATAAAATCGTCAACTTCGAAGCTCAATACTATGTGTGCATTTTCAAAAGTAAGGCCGCGTTCACACTTTCGCGTCATCGTTTTAGCATTTTGAACGCTGCCCGCGAAAAGTTCAAGACCAACCGCGAACGCTCGAGATCGATGTACATACTTTCCGAGTCATTCGATTCGTCATCAAAACGCTGATGCAAAGTATGAACGCACCTTGACGTTTTTTTTCGTGTTTCATCCCCCGGGGCAGCACCCCGGTACGGGCCATTTCTTTTTTCCTTGGTAATTTTGCTTTGTATTGTTAGCAAATTACCCCACAAAAGTGCTTTTCTGCTATTGTATATTGCCCTTTTCTGGAAGCGACCAGCACGATTAGTCACTGTTCCCGGTCTGTGACCCTGCGGAATCGGCCAAAGAAGCGTATCCACGAAAAGCTTCCGGTGAGTATTCATTGAAGAAGCGGCTTACTGAGCGGGCATAGTTGAAACTTCTACCCCTCTCCAATTCTTTATTAAGAGCGCGTCCAGACCTCGTGATCACGCGATCACTCGAGCGATCCGATCGTGCGATCGCGAAGTCTGGACGCGGTCTTAGGCGTAGTCAGCGAAATCAAACATATTTAGCCATTTGGCGTTGCTCGCTCGCTCGTGAATTCGCCAGCATTTCGCCAGAGCGTTCGACGATTCCCCCATCGGTGCGTAATTATTGCTTTATTATTCATTTGTTTCTCGGATATTGAAGGTCGTAGAATGTGAAAAAGGCCTTGGAAAGTCAAGTTATGAAAAAAAAACTAATAAAAAAGCACTACCGGTTTGGAGACATTTTGCTTCTTTTCACCTTCTGCGATCTGGCGCAGTTCGGGGACGGGGGCGTTTTGTACTAACATTGCTTCCCTAGTTCCGGTTTACAAGTCTCACTCTGGCGAAACCTGTGAACTGTTGTGAAGCTGGAGCAAGGTTGCAAGTCATCATGGTAAAACCTGGTCAACCTGGAAATTATGGTCAACTCGAGAAGAGGCTGTCTGGATAGGTCGTCACGTCGATGGGAAGTAGCAAAAGTGCAAAATGCCCCCGTCGCCGAACTGCGCCCTCCGATCTTACTGATAAATGCTTATACCCCAGAATCTGGGTGTTCTTTCATCGATCCATTAGTCCGAAATCCCTACGACGCCGCCTCTACGTGGTTTTCACCCGTGATGATCGATGACCCAGTAAAATGATGGAAATCTCGGGCTATATGGATCATGTCGCTTTTGGCTCGAGAGGTCGCTACTTCTGCGTCTGACTAGCTACTTTTCGTATTGCTATTTTTCGTATTACTATTTTTATAATGGTGCGAAGAAGCAAATCTTTTGGATACTGTGGGTGCGCGTCCAAGTTCCACTGTTTAGATGCCTGTGAAACGGATTTTCACCAAAAGATTGGTTCTGCGATACTTTACCGGAGCAGGAGTTTTCTACTGTGTCGCTCACACAATAGCTCGTCATGTGGGTGAACTAGTGATCTGTTCCGGACCTTCAATGCATCCTACAATTCACGATGGTGATCTCGTCCTCGCGGAGAGGCTCAGTGAGTTTTCTTGTTCTCTTTTCGTTTTTTTAAGGCACTGAAAACTTTTGGACCTTCTCTAAATTATCGCGAAAACGTTGCTGTTCCTCTTTCACTGCCCTCCTCTTCGAAATTCAGACCACACTTTTATGTACTCTCTTTTGCAGTGAGTTAGGCTAAGTCCTCGGCTCCTGAGTGTTCTGACCCACCGAATTTTTAACGCACCAGGTGGTATCTTGACACATTTGATAAATGGTAACGATGGTAGTGTGCAGAGTGCCAACAACCATAAGGGACGCAATTCCAGAAAATCTATCTTGTAAGGAAAATTTCATTCGAAATCTGACTTGAATTTGAAAAGGCTGGCCAGAAAAGGATTCATGTTGACATCATCAAAACCCCTAATAGTCCCATAACTGAGAAAAAACGAATATGGGAAGTTCAGGAAGATCAGATTCAAATAGCTGGGCAGAACAACTCGTTCGTAAGGTACGGCGCCGCTCGCCACGCTCCTCAGCGCGACATATTTTGATTGTCTTGTCACATTCCCTTGATAGGGGACGGGGGGGGGAATAGTGCCCAAAACCATTGGGATCACAGTGAAAGGGATATGAGTCGATGCTGCGGACTACGCTTGTTCCAATGGTTGTGTTGTAATCATCAGAAGGCGGAAAACTGGAAAAAGCGAAGAAACAGCGCTGTACGAACCGCTTTCGTATTTCCTCAACCTATTTTTTACTCCAGAAGCGGTAAGTCTCCTTATGGAAGCAAATAGACAGTATTGAATAGAACTCAGGAATTTTGCTTTGGTTTTATCGACCAATATAATCGCCCTGGATCTCGTTACAAAAGAAACGCTCATCTGCACTTGTTGCAGGTATCAGTACCGGGAATATACATCGCGGTGATATCGTTGGATGTTTAAGCCCACACGAACCAGAACAATTGTTATGTAAACGAGTGATTGCTAAGGTAATAGATTTTTATGGTTTTACCGTGTTATTTTTTGCCTTCTTCGTTAACTCTGGATTTTTCGGCACGTCTATCCGCGCCCCCCCCCCTACCCATCCTCCGTCGCCGAACTGCGCCAACGTGGGCTGTGCGGGCTGAAGTAATGCCACACGTAGAAGGTGCCCCTCCTATCTAGGACGAGATATGGCAGCTGTCGTACGTCTTTAAACAGAGCTGTGACGTATTGCGTTCTTTCTGTAGACGAACCTGTCCTCTAGGTCGTATCCAATCTCATCTTTCTGTTATCTGGTTTATTATCTGTTGTAACCCACCCGCGCCACAGGGTCTCGAATGCTCAGTTATTCGTACGATACTAGGGCCTTGTTCAGTGTGTTATGCAACATTGCGTTCGTTGGTGAATCATTTAGTATCTAGAAGTTCATATTTGGGCCCAAAGCCTACAAACTATAGTCTCGAAATGTATTAAAGCCACGCCTCTGCGTTCATTTGTTGGCTCCTTTGTAAATAGAGTCTTGTCCGTAATCACGGAGGACTAAAACTTCCGCAGCTCGAAGGTACACAAGGAAAGCGCCGGGCTCGCCACGGAACCGCGGCTTCGCCCACCGGCCACAGCTACGCCCTGTGTCATTTTTTCTTGCTAAGCGGTGGTGCAGTTGCTCCGCTATTACCTCTATTCGTTTCGACCAGTGAGGGGATGATTAGAGAGAAAGAGCTGACCCCAACAAGTAAGAACTCATCGGACCGCACCCTTTTTCCGCCTGATGCAAGTGCATGCACCATTCAGCATTTGTTTTTATATGGGATATTAACTATTACTTTAGGTGTGTTTTTTCTGCTTCTTTTCATCCATGCTGCATCATTCCCTACCTTGTCATTGGCATTTAAGCCGCACAACTCCCCATAGAACCCAGTGAAAGGCCAGCATGGCTCCTTTGTACTCTGGTGTTGGCAGCCCACACCATTAATTTCTCTCATTCGCGATCGCCATCCGCGGTCGTATCAAAGGTCGGCGGAGATGGCGATCTGAGACTTCGGTCAGCCGCATGTGACTGTTTTGTTTTACTGGAAAGCGGGCTGCACCACCCCGACGCCCTATGGTGTCCTTATTGCTTGCCGACACTTCAGGGTGTTAACTTTCGAGACTCTTAGAGAGATCACATTCCTCTTTTCCATGGCTTTCTCTTATGGGGAAAGGCCTGGAAACTCATAACATAGAATAAACACCTGTTTTTACTAATCAGTCAAGCGTTTAACGACCGAGGCTTATTTAGTAAACCTTAACTCTTCCCGCATTCTCTCAAACGTGAAGTCTGATTATCTGAGACGTTCTTTGATTCAGCATATATTCTCATCGAAATACAATATTGGTAAATTGAGACTTGCTTGAGCATTGCTTGAAATTCTCCTGAACAATTATTCAGGAAGCTGATCCCGTTAACTCCGATCTGTTGCCGAATTTACGCGTTCCTCGTGGACATGTATTTCTACAAGGAGATAATCCTATGGCTTCTACAGATTCACGACATTTTGGTCCTGTTCCAGTGGGATTAGTTCAAATTCGACTAACTCTTCGGATTTGGCCAGTCTCCAGGTACTTTATTTTCTGCATTGATACCACTTTTTCCTTATATTAGGGCCTGTGTTCAGTTGTTGTACGTTAGGTTCTGAGCGTTTGGCGGGTAGTTTTGAACTCTTCACGGGTAGTCGCTGAGAACGCTCGCATACGCGCAAAACGCTGGATTGATATCTATTAGAGTCTGGTCCGGGAAGTTCTTAGGCGTTTTGGGTTCCTCCGGTCTCAGCGTGTTTCCTACTTTAAACGATTCGATAACTTTTTTAGTACTCATCGTGGATTTAATCGTGACATATAGTTGGCACCATTCGAAATCAGGCACAATTTTGCCAACGGTGATACTAGCGTCGACGAAATCCCATCAAAGAAAACAACTGGCGCACCCACGTTGGATCCGAGGAATCACGAAATCCATGCAAGGCCTTTTTTTGCCTGCCGTTCCTGATTGCTCCTGTGAAGTATTTCCAGAAGGGAGTTCTTGAAAATGTCTTTGAAAGAGTGATAGTCGGTTGGAGAAAGGTCTGGCGGAATAGGTGGGAGTGTTGGTAAAGGCTTCAACCCCAATTCGATTCAATTTTTGGATTAGCTGCGTTGCTGAACGTGTGTGGGCGGGCGTTGTCATGCAGAAGAATCGGACCCTTTCTATTGACAAGTGCTGGCTGCAGCTGACGCAATTTTCGGTACATTTCGTCGATTTCTTCACAGTAGGACTCTGCTGTGATGGTTTGGCCTGGTGACAAGAAATTGTAGTGGATCACACCAGCTGACGACCACCATACTGTGACCATTACCTTTTTTTCGTGAAGATTCGGCTTTGGAAAATGCTTGGGTGGCTCGTCGGCATCCAACCACTGCCCAGAACGTCTCCTGTTATCATACGTGATCCATTTCTCATCACAGGTGACAATTCGGTCAACGGCGGTCGTTTTCGGCTTACGCAAACAAGCACGTGCAGATGAAACCTCGAGACGTGCCGATTCCTGCCGGTCACTCAAATTGTGGGGCACCCACTTATCGAGTATTGGGCCCCCACACCTGGTTAATTTGTCGAGCTGTCTCGACTGCGGATTGACCCAATTTATAGTTGAAGAAAAAAATCGTTCGAAGTTGCTCTTTTGACATGCTTGAAAAAGTCTTTGGAAAAGGGGTTTATCAAGCAATGGTGAAACGGCAATTATACCATCAGATAGCGCAAGAAATTCTCTACAGGATGTGCTACTGAGAAGCAAGGCAGAATGAGTTTTTAATCAGCAGTGAATGTACAAAAAATAGGTGCACAAAACGCTGAGAACTTTCCGGACAACCTAATATACTTTCCTAGTCGCTCAAGGCATTAAAAAACGTTCGAAACTCAAAACGATGACGCAAGGATGAACGCAGTCTCCCCTCTGTTTGGATCTGTGATTAATTTCCAATTCTGGTTGAAGGTTTGGTTGGCTGTCGGATCACTGGTTTTGGGAAACGGAAGAAGACCTGAAGCGAAACGCCAAAAGCGATGTTCCGAAGTCAAAATTTTACCCTCGCACGTAGTTCTCATAGATTTCGAATTCGTAGTTTCAGATCTTCAGGCATCTAGTTTGAACGCTTTAGTTCGTGTAGCTTTTTACGGGTATTTTCAAAATTTGATCATATAGTTCTATTGAGAGCAATAAGATGATCTTACAAGCAATTATGTATACTTTTTGGTGCGTCATAAAGAAGCTTACTACCTCGTCAAGATCCATGCTGCCTTTCTTCTGTCTTGCAGTTCTTTTCGGAAATTTTAGAAATAAAAGTTCATGCAGATTGTTTTATTAAGTTGTGGAACTCGTCTATCCGACATTGTATTGTTATTATTGTATTTACTTATTTGTATTTGTGAACTAACTTTGTGTGAATTACGTTGTTTTCTGTTTCATCTTCGTCGTATCTTGTCCTAAATCTCTGTGTCGTTCGCTTTTTCTCAAAGTAGTCTGCAACGATTTGTAAATTTCCTTCCACTGCGATCATCTCTCCAAATCTATTCAGGTTAACTAGTCGATACTTTGGTTATCGAGTAGTACGGCACGATGGCCGTCAACGGCGTATACGTCGTTTTAGGTGAAGCGAATACGGTGGTGGCTCTGCTGAATAAAGCACGAAGGTGAGTTTAGCACGGTAGTTCATTCTTGCTTTTCTTCCTTATTGCCTGATTCATGTTTATACAGTTTTCATCTTGATTTGGACATTTTCCAAACTAAATTGGACACTTTCAAGTCAAACTGGACATTTTTCAAATCAAATTGGACACATTTCTCGCATAGAGCAGTTAAGACTTGACCACTTTGGGTACTGCTGCAGGCCCCGTTCCAACATCCTCCGCCCACATTTCATGTTTTCCAGAATTCGTTTGATGAATTCTGCTTCTATGCCTCTTCATTTTTGTTATTTAGCACTTACTACTAAAGTGCAGGACTGATTTACTGATGCAGAACTGACCGCACCCCTTTTTTGAGGAAGTACAAATTTTGCATTTTCACAACCTTTTTTGACGTTGTTTTTCACATTCATTCCTCCCCAAAGGAATGTACTCACAGATATAGATTTATTCACTGGTACACTGAGCCGCTCCACTTTAACCACTCATTTTTTGCGGATTTTAATTTTTTCTTCGAAATTTTTCTGCTTTTGTAGCAGTAGCTCCGCACCCTATTACGCCCACTTCACAGAAGCCTGCCCACTTCAAAAAAATAATGCAAATCAGCAGCCCAAAGTCTCATCCGGCAGATTATGGTCCGCGCGCAGCAGATTTGCCTCGTTCTTGGTGGAACAAGTTCCGAAAATCGTGTCCGTGAAAAAAGGGGGGGGGTGTTGGAACGGGGTTGCAGCTATAGCTAGTGCTCTCCTTATTCAACTGCTCCATGTAAGAGTGTGTGTCCGACTTTGAAAAGTGTTCGGTTCGGCTGGAAAGGTATCTGATTTGGATTGAAGATGTTTTGAAATGAGAATGGTATATAATGGCATAACATTCCTGGAAACTTCTAATCTTTCGCATTTCTTTTTTTTCGAAGTACAGGGTGGACTTCGACTCCCCTCAAGGTCAAGTTTGGCTCGAAATTTCCGGCCAGCATAGTAAATTACCCGAGTGCTTCCAACTAACCACTTTTTATTTTTACTTTTCTCCTTGAATTACCGTTTCCACCTTTCTGACCAGACAGTATCAATTATCACATCAGCCGCCTTCTCTTGAAGACACTGAGCCGCTACTTCGGAATTTTGCGGATCTCAAAGAAGTTCTCAATGAGGTATTTTTTGAATGGTTCGCACGATAACTGTGAAAATGTCCTTTTTCGTTAGGTAGCAGATTTGAGTGATATGAATCCGCTGACGTATTTGTCCCCATTTTTGGACGTTATCAAAGCGCAAAATACAAATGGGCCCATAACAGAGGCGGCATTGTCATCAGTGGCGAAATTTCTCAGTTACGGGCTCATAGACGCCAACAGGTCAGTCTATTTTTCTAAGACTATCTTACAACAAGTGGATTCTCTTCAGTATTTCACACTGTTGTTTTGCTTGCAGTATAAAAGCGGCAAATGCTGTGGAATCGGTTGCTTATGCAGTCGTACATACAAAATTCATTGGAGGGAAGAGCAGTGGCAGTGATGAATGCGTTCTTTTCAAGATTCTCTTGGTAAGCTCTAGTCATTGAGGTTTACGCTTCAGGGGAAGTTGTTTCTGAAATCGCTCTGTCAGGTTCTCCGTTCACTCTTGCTGTCTCCTCCCGGATCACTTCTGTCCAACGAAGCTGTGTGTGACATGATGCAATCGTGCTTCCGCATCGTTTTCGAGCAGCATCTTTCGCCGTTATTGCGGAAAGCTGCTGAAGCTACGCTCAGTGATATGACGCAGCTGATATTCACACGACTGCCGACATTCCATGAAGATGCCAGGCATCCTTACATAAGAAAACTGGTCAGTACTTGGTTCTAATAGTTTATTGGTGCTTGTTCCTCCTTTATGGCGTTCCGATCTTCTTTTGATAGTTTTATCTTATTATCCATTAGAGTGCGTTCATACTTTGCGGCAGCGTTTTAAGAGTTTCGAGCGACTGGGAGATATAGGTATCGATCTTGCTTGAAGCGTAGGCAGTCATGTCGTAAATCCAGTCATACCGTAGGACAATAAGGGGGCGTCTCCGCAGCTCGGCTCGCTCATACGTATGTTTCTGCCTCTTCCATTGGTTGCTCGGTTTCTCGCAACAGTTGGCGCACTTACTGCAACTCCTCCTCCCTTCTCTTGCCCGCTTGTATGGGCTCTATGGCGTCTTCCGTACAGCAACCCTGAACTCGTCCTCATGTTCGTAAACTCGTACAAATTCGAGGAGCCCTTATTCGTAGACTGACAAGGCATTTGTCGCGTCATCCGCGCGATGTATAGCGCGTCGGTGTGCGGCAAATTCTCGATTAGTCTTAGTTGTCATTGTGATAAGGCTCCTTGACGGAAGAGCACAAAATTTCCTTTCTCCTGCACTCAGACTGAATCGGCCTGGCAGGACGACTCATCTTTGGGGCTCGACACCTCTCGCCACGCCCATTCCCGCGCTTACGATTGTCTTATCACAACCACCGCGGGGCATTACCATTATCTTGTCACATCTCCTCCCCTTATTCTGGCGCTCTCAATGATTTCTTTTTCTTTTTTCTCCCTTACTAGGTACTTACCACCTGCGATGTCATATTTCAGCTCGACTACCTTCGTGCTCCCGTGGAGTTCCACGTAGCATTTGGATCGTCGTAAATTATTAACGAGACGATACAAAACTGTTTAGGTAATGAACGCTAAAGGTGAAAAACGTCGAAGAAGGCGAAGACGAACTGAATCTGAAGCAGAAAGTGAGAAGGTAAGCACAAAATTCTGAAAATCCCCTGTTTACAGTACCTTCATTTGACTTTATTAGTTGTTGTATTTTATTAGTTGTAGATAGATAAATAGATAGTAGTTTCATTAAGGATGACCTTGAAGTGGTTCAGCCCACTACCGTTACGAAAGATTCCTCATGCTGCAAGTGAGATTCCGTCAGTGGCATCGACGAATAACCTTATCGCCTCTGAAAACACTCCACTTGTTAAAGCAGACGGTGATGCGGCAAGTTTAGGTTATTTTATTACTCACTTATTACCATTGATCGTTTTTCTTTATTTGCATTATATGATTGGAAATAAACTTGAGGTAGTGGCAGGCAGCGCTTCTTGCGCACGAATTGATCTAGAAGTGAACTTCGGATCGAAATTCGGAATAGAAAGGCCCAGCCACTCAAGCTGGCTATGTGACAAGATAGCCGTGTTAGGCTGCGTTTATACTTTGCGGCAGCGTAGCGCTTCCAGCGTACGCCAGCGGCAGTGCCGAAGAGAGGATGCATATCGATCTAGCTTCACCAGCGTCACCAGCGGCACGCTGGCGTAGCGAGGGCACGGGAAGCATAGCTATCGATCTAGCTTCACCAGCGTTTCTCCAGCGTTTTCCCAGCGCTTCCAGCGACGGGGCTAGAGAGGGGCTAGAGAGCACTGGACGGAGGAGAGTACAAAGTACTCTCCTCCGTTCAGTGCTCTCTAGCCCCGGCGCTTGCAGCGACGGGGCTAGAGAGGGGCTAGAGAGCACTGGACGGAGGAGAGTACAAAGTACTCTCCTCCGTTCAGTGCTCTCTAGCCCCGCTAGCGCTTGCAGCGACGGGGCTAGAGAGCACTGGACGGAGGAGAGTACAAAGCACAGAACGGAGGTCGATATGCATCCTCTCTTCGGCACTGCCGCTGGCGTACGCTGGAAGCGCTACGCTACGCTGCCGCAAAGTATAAACGCAGCCTTATGGTGGTGGCGTGCCGAGCGACGCCGCGCGCGACGGGCGAGTTGTTCTATCTGGCAATTTGACTGTTGAAGGGACGGCAAATTCCGTCTCTGATCATTAGGTCATGTCTTCTCATTTCTTATGAATTCCTATGGCAGCGTTCAGACTTTGGACGGCAGCGCCTGGGTCGCGCGTTCGGCGCGATTCGACTTTCCATGCACCATCGCGCTGAACGCGCGACTGCCTATGGCCTTGGCTACTTCGATCGACAGGAAATGCACATCGAGAAATTGCCGCGCATCGGCCTTTGTTACATCGCGCGCGACAGCGCAAGGAATCGCGACTGTCTT